AGGGGGGGGGGGGGGGATGAATAGAGTTTTTGCTAATCTAATCCGATTTTATGTCAATTAAAAACTTATTTAAAAATTATCCTAGCAAATATGATATGCAACAAGATATATATGCAAGGATATAAAACTAATGGCAATATAAACATGCAACAATGATGATATAAAAATATGTAAGAATAAATGCGTAAATGCCAAACTCAAACACAAGGAAATGATCACGGAGTTTGATCCTTCCGACTTACGTCTCTGCTTCCCACTCTCAGGGAGAATCCACTACACAACCGGGTTTTGAACGCTCACCCGAATAACGTTTACACCTCACACTCGATTTTCTAGTTCACCGAAAACTTTACAATCACTCACAATATAAACAAACTAACTACCATCTCAAGTGTTGGTCTCTCGTCTGTGTCTCTCCCTCAAATGTTAGGAATTACAACCTACCTCTAGGTATTACCACCTACCCCACTCCTCTTGGGACGATCCCGTCTCTCACCACACACTGCTCTCGATGTACTAGTGTAATACAAAGTGAACCTCACAATAATAGCTCACATCAAATGATTGTTCTCTAAACAAGGCGAGCACTCAATTAAGCACAACTCAAGGTTACAATCTCTCACAACCCAAATTATACTATATATACTCAATTAAGCACAACTCAAGGTTACAATCTCTCACAACCCAAATTATACTATGTATGTAAATACTAAAAGCTCAAGTGGGTGTGTGTAACAATGAGATTCAATAAATCAAAATCAAACTAAACTCAATATAAACTCTAGCTTAGAAAATATTATAACCAAACAATTATATATAAATGCAAAGCTAGATTGAGTTTAGAAAACTTCTCCAATAAATGATAAGAGAGAGAGAGAGAGAGAGAGAGAGATGAGTTGAAGCTCAAACATTGAAGGATAATCTCTTCTTGCTCTTGTGAAAGTTTCTTCACAAACAAACTCTTTTAAAACAAACTTAAACCAAACTTAAACACACTTAAACTTGTTTTTAAAATTCTCTTGGAAAGTTCAGAAGTTAGAGGGCAAGGGGTATATATAGGCTCATGGAACAACCCCAAAAACCAAGAAGAAACCAACAAAACCCAGCAAAAAGATAAAAATAGAAAGCTGAAAAAACTAGCCGTTGGGCCGTCAGTCGTCTGATACTGTTCATCAATCGACTGATGAGCTAATTGTTACATGCCAGCAATACGTCATCAGTCGACTGATGAACTTATCAGTCGACCAATGACCTCGTCAGTCGAGTGATCAGTCGACTGAATATGAAACAGAAACTTTTGGCTATTCCAGGCGTTTTCTTCAGTCGACTGAACACATGTATCAGTCGACTGAACACATGTATCAGTAGACTGATAACACTTTATCAGCCTGATTTGAATAGTAAAATGATTTTTAAACGTCTTTTAAAAATAGCAAATAAATTCAGAAAAATATAAAAAACTTTGGGAAATGATTGTAAACATGATAATAAACATGTTACAAAAAATATTTTTGAATTTTCACTTTCCATTTGTAAAATCTCATTATTTTTGAAAACTAGTCCAAAACATAA